GCTGGATGGTGTGAAAGGTATCGTCACAGGATTTAAGCTGTTCCAAGTAAAGCTGCCTTTTGCAATTGACTGATGGTGATTTTGTCAATGCTGATGGTCTTCAAGTTATTATTATCATCATCATCATTATTATTTCTTTTTTGAAGAATACTCAGCAAATCCAGGTCATTTCAATTCAAGCCTTATCCTAAGAATTGACCAAATACTAAAGTAATGTGTGTGTGTGTGTGTGTGTGAGATTTTAAGCTAAGCTGTTTTTTGTAAAATAAATGTTGCAAGTTCAAATAATTTCACAGCTGTTTTGACAAGTCCATTGTTATACTTCCTAATGCTCCAACAATTATGGGAAAAACTTTTACCAGTATATTCCATAATCCTTACATTTCAGTTGTTAAGTCCCAATATTTTACAGTCTTTTCCAATTCCTTTTGAGCTGTTCTAGCATCGTTTGGTACAGCCACATCTATAAGTAAAGCTTCCCCCTCAACAACAAAAGCATCATTAATATTGTGCAGAAGAAAGCAATGGTAAACTGTTCCTGTATTTTACCAAGAAGACCACAGGGATAGACAACATAAAGTGATAGCCAATATAGTACCAGATGATGGGCCCCTCACGTTGGATGGCACACAACATGGTATTGAGGAAGAGCTTCTTTTGGAGTACTTAATGGTGTTTACAACATGGATTTATTAAAGCCTTTGGGGCATTTATTTCTTGATGTTACTATGCAGAAAAAGAAAATCTGAAGCTGCAAAGGAGAATTACAGTGGGAACATGGGAAGCATAAACAAGGAAAGCTCAGCACAATGAAAGATGAAATTAATTGACTCTACAATAACATCTTAGGCATCAGTGAATTGAAATGGACTGGAATTGGACACTTTCAGTCAGGTCATATTGTTACAACTCAAGTCATGAAAAATAAAGAAGAAACAGCATTGCTTTCATAGTCAGGAAGAATATAGGAAACATAGTACTTGGGTACAAGGTAGTCAGTGATCCCATAATGTCAGTTAGACTTTGTGGACAACCTCTTAATATAACTGTTATACAAGTTTATGCTCCAACTACTGATGCAGAAGAAAAGGAGGGTGACAAGTGTTATGAACTTGTTATGTTACAAGTGTGCTGCTTGTAGTTGGAGACTGGCATGCAAAAGATGGAAATAGTAAGGAGGAAAACATATATGGATTGTACAGCCTAGAAAACAGAAATGAAGCAGTAGATTAATTTATCAGTCCCTGCCAATCCAATTATTTCTTTATTGCTAACTCAGTCTTTAGACAACCAAATGATGCCTATGTACTGTACATGGACATGCAGTAAAGTACAATCAAATTGACTATATTATTGATACAAGTAGAAGAGCTCAATTATAACAGCAAAGAAGTGGCCAAGGGCTGATTATGGATCATAAACTGCTCATGTGCAAGTTCCAAGTCAAAGTAAAGCAGAAGAAAGCCAACCCGTTTCCATGATATGACCTTGGACATATACCCATCGTTTTAAGGAGAACATCAGGAAACACTTTGAAGTCCTGAACTTCATTGATAGGGAACCAGAACTCTGGAAGGAAATCAAGAAACAGAAGAAAGCAAACTGGATGTCAGAAAAAATGGTGGAAATCGTCAAGAAGAGACAAGAAGCTAAAGATCCCAGGAAGGAATTAAACAAAGAATTTCAAACAGCTATTAGAAGAGACAAGAAGTAATGTTACGATGACATCTGCAAAGCCATTGAAGATAGAAACAGACATGAAAGTCTTCCAAAAGATCTCTAAATTTGGTAAGAAGTTCCATCCTTGAATTGGTATGCTAAAGGATGCCAAAGGACAGATAGTAACTGATCCAAAGAAGATTAAATATGGAAGAAGTATACAGTACTGAAATTCTGTGCAGCAAAGATGTCAGTATCAAAGGTACATTAGAAGATATTCTGTATTTAGCAGAACTTCTTGTATTAGAAGAATTAGATCAGTGCTCTGGTCATTACCAAGTCAGAATTGATGGGATATCTATAAAAATATGGCAAGCAACAGAAGAAGATGCAGTAAAGGTTCTAACGAAACTATACCGACAAATCTGGACAATGAAACAGTGGTAAACAGATTGGGAGAGGTCAGTCTAAATACCAATACCAAAGAAAGGAGACTTAACAGAATGTTCTGTTGAACTATTGTACAATATCTTAATTTCACACCCCAGCAAAATCATGCCTGGGATCATCCAATTAGATTAGAGCCCTAAATGGAAAGGGAGCTGCCAGATGTTCCAGTTAGTTATAGAAAAGGCCAAAGAACTAGAGACAGTATTGCTAATGCACTGGATAATCGAGAAAGCAAAAGAAGACCAAGAAAACAAAATCAGTATGTGCTTCATTGATTATAAAAAGGCTTTTGATTGTGTTGATCATATTAAACTGCGGAATGTCCTTAGTAAAATGGGAATTCCAGACCATCTCAGTGCCCTCATGTGAAACCTGTCCACAGGACAGAAAGCCATAGTCCGGCTGGGACGTGGCAAAGCACAATAGCTCCAGGTTGGCAAAGGAGTAAGATGGGGCTGTATACCCTTTCCGCATTTATTCAAGCTATATGCTGAATATGTATTGAGGGAGGCTGGACTTCCAGAAGATGAGCATGGTTTTAAAACTGGAGGAAGAAAGATCAATAGCCTATGCTATGCTGATGATGCTAATCTGATAACTAAAATGCAAATGATGTGAAAGTTCTAGAAATGAAATCAAGGAGTACAGGGGGAAAATGTGAGTAAATATAAAGACCAGATTACAGACAAATGGTCCAGCAACCAACCTTAGAACTGTATGGACGCCACGTTTTGGCTTCCTAAAATACAGCCCCTGACTTTTCCTCATATGAGGAATTACTCTTCCTTAGGCTAAAGCAGTGTTTCTCAGCCTTGGCAACTTTAAACACAGTACTGTATGTGGATACTGGTTGGGGAATTCTGGGAGTTGAAGTCCACATAGCTTAAAGTTGCCATGGTGGAGAAACATTGGGCTAAAGAAAAGGGGGAAAATGCTGTTGCTCTGTCATAACTGCTGGTCATCAAAAGTCATAAGAATTAGATTTTTCTTTTGTATTATCAGATTCTTGTCCCAGACCATTTACAATGTCGATGGAGAACCTGGAGGACAGGAGAGGACAGGAAGAGAACATTCAGGTCATCTGTAAGCTTGAAAGACAAGACAGCCTGACTCCTTTGTGAAGGAACATCCCTGATATCTTCCTCCCAAAAGATGCAGTGAAGAGGACAGGAAGTAATACCTTCTCTCTCTCTCCCCCTCCCCACCAAAAGGAAAAAAAAATAGAGGGTGGGTGTTTTTGCTCCAGCTCTATGCAGCGCCTCCGTCTCTAGCAAAGCAAGACACGCTCCAGCTTTGGCTGGGGAAGGGGGGCTGAGATCGTATCTCTTTAAACGGGAGCGCGCAGGGAACCTAGCCCAGCAGCCGGAGATCTGGCCGGAGGGTTGAAGATGGAGCTGTCCCGGCCTCTGCAACAGCTGCCCAGGGCTCTACGGCTCCAGTTCCTGCTCCTGATGCTGCTGCTGCTGCCTGAATGGTGCTGGGGCAAGTACGTGAAAGGCAATCTGAGCACCAAGGAGGTGAGTCCACAGCTTGGAGGGAAGCACCAAGGAAAGGGGACCAGTGCCTTGGAGGAGGGGAGCGGGCAGAACCAAAGCGAGGTGCCCCACTCTCGCCTTGGCCTGCATAGCGTGAGCCCTGCTTCTCAAGCTGCCATTCCTGGCTTGTGTGCATTCTCCAGCCTTTGCATCTTCTGCGGTGGTCCGGGTCCTGGCTGTGCCGGGGCAGTGGTGGGGGTGTGTGCCCCCCAGAGATCCTTTCCCCCTTCCCCCAGCACTTCAGGCTTCATCTCCCTCCCCACACTCCCCTTTCTTACGAGGCAGTTTCTAAGATCCTTCCTTGATCCAGTCCAGAAGGATCACACACTATCTTTAGTTGGTCCTTCCCTCCCATTCCGTCCTCAATGAAGAGATATGGTTGTCCTGCCTCTCTTCTCCCTTGGGTGGGTTCCTTTCTGGGTATCCTGGATGATGATGAAGAAGAAGAAGAAGAAGAAGAAGAAGAAGAAGAAGAAGAAGAAGAAGAAGAAGAAGAAGATGATGATGATGATGATGATGATGATAGACTGGACAAAGGATGCAGGACAATTTCTTCCCCATCTTAGGTGTGTGAAAATGGTGCCTAATAATTCTAAATTCCACACAGCAGATATTCTGGCAAGCTACCCTCTTTCTCAGTGCTGAAGGAATACTTTCCTCCACTCCAGCCTTGCCTTTTGGGGTGTGCCAGACACCTTGTCCGCCGGTCCTGTGAGCAATTTTTGGCATTACAGTGAATCTGGTAAAAAGGGAGGCGGTGGTTCAGCTGCCCAGTGCTGGACAGAATGCTGTAAAGGATGAGGCAAGTGCTGTTGTGTGCAGACAGGGTGTGTATATGTGTGTGTGTGTGTGTGTACATATAGTACACTCGCTGCTTTTTCTAAATGAATTCATTTGACACAAGTGTCTGCCATTGTGCTATTGTTTGGGGCAAAAGGGTGAATAGTAAGCCGTGGAGGCAACTTTCAGAAAGAGAAAGATGTCTTTGTCTGTACAGCAAAACCATCCAAGTGTTGGGATACTTTAAGGACAAGTTGATCATTATGGAGGCTGACTTCATAGAGCAGACTTCACTTCATTAGATGTACAAAGTGTTAATCCCACATTGGCAGTAGCGTGCACATACATACATCCAGGCAAACAGAAGAGGATGTGCAATGAAAACCAAAGCATGGTCTGCAGCAATAATATATAGATAAAGAGGATTCCCCCCCCCCTTCTATTTCATATCAGTTAAGACTCAATATTAAGTGTTGGCCATGTTCATCCATCAGGGCAGAGCTTCGACTGTTTGAATAGTTGCTACACTCACCTTAAACTTTGCACCAGTTTTCCCCAATGTAACACCTTCCAGGTCTGTAACCTCTAGCCAGCATGACCATTAGCCTCGCCAGCTAGAAATTACAGAAGTTTCAGTCCATCTCATCTGGAGGCTGTAATCAGACTTTGCACCAGATTGGTAGATGGCAGTATTCGAATTTCCTTGCCATATAGATTTATTTCCTTTCCCCTAAAATCAGGAGTCGGGTAGTTGCATCTTTTCCAACTAACAAATTTCATTTAAAGGATTGGATGATGTGGGTCTTGTACACCAAAGCTGATGCTCCATTCCATCGGTTACTCTTTCAATTACTAGGAGACTGTGTTGTTTTTTATACTATGGAAAGTGTCATTGGATGGACTTGGGATTTATCGGTCTGCTGAGATATGACTGGTCCAGGAAACGGCAAGTGGAATGAAGTAGTGAATCAGGGGGCGTTGGAAGATCACGTAGTTGATTCTCCATTACTGAATCTAAGGCAGAGTTGTGAGGTTGAAATGTGGATCAGCTGCCCCATTTTAAGCACCTGTTGGCTATTTACCAAGGAGCGTTAATAAATGCTGATTTATAACAGGCTTCTGTAGTATACGAGTAACTTGCCTAGGAGAATTGGAATTTATTGATCTATGTTGTGAGAGGGTTGATGGGGGCTTGTAGAGGAGCCATTCTGACTTCAAAGGCAACTTGCAGAAACACTTAACGTGTGCATGTGCCTGTATTATAATCAATACTTTCGGTAGTTCAGCTGAACGACTTTCTGTCCTGAAGTGAAGATTGTGGCATACGAGGCCTCCACGACATGCTACAGCAGAGATTTGCACAATAGGAAGAAATGTAACATGTCCCACCCTCCCCGTAATTCTCCATCCATGTTGACAGAAAGGCTAATGTCCACCTGCCGATCAGCTGTTAAAAGACCAGCAAAAACACAGAGCTGGCAACCTCTTTGCAAGTTTGTTGCTGAGATGAGGGAAAGAGCTTCTGTTTCCCCATGAAACCTATCATTGCTCTCCTAGGAGGTCTGGCTGCGAATTCTTTGCAATCCAGCAGGCCTCACTAATGTCTTTTTGGCTGCAGTTCCGGCAGCTTTTAATTTGGGGTTTCAGGGAGAGAGAAACTGGAGTCTTGGTGGATCTCCTACGATTCTGCCTGATCCCCAGGGAGAGGGCGTGAGCAGGTTCCCCCCAAACCTTGATTCTTCCCCGCACATTTGCCCCAGATTTTGCTTGTTTCCTCTGCCTACTTCAGCCTCTGGTACGGTTACCGTGGAAACCTTGAGCATGGGTTGTTGCCATGGGAACAAGTGGGGATTTTTAAGAGCGAGACGATGGGGCTGAGAGTTGGAGGGAAGAGAAACAATGAGGTGAAAAGGAGCCAGCTTCTTCAAAAACCCATTTCCTCCACAAATTGGAAGCTCCTCGGCCTGATAAATATGTATATACATATGCACGGATGGGCAAGTGTTTGCAGATCTACAGAGCTTTGCTGTACCCATCGACTCTGTTGGCTGTTTTCATATCTTTTCTTCCTCAACTCGATCAGCCCAATGTATTTCTGACTCACGTCCCAGAAATAAATTATTCCCAGGCCTTCTGCAGGCTTTGGTCTGTCTCACAGCACAGGGCGTTTCTGACTGTTGACTTGACCCACCACAGGACTTGATAGCTTGTCTTGGTGTTAACTGACTACAGTAACAATAGCATCCTCACTGCATGCTCTTGGATAGGGTAATTAGATGTGTGTGTGTGTGCACGCGCGTGTGTGTGTGCACAATTTAAAGAATCTGCATGCCAAGAAGCTAGAATATGGGTGATCCCTTTCAGTCGGCACAAATGAATCCAGAATAAATGCTTGACTTGTCCTTTGTACTTAATTAGCCCGACACTGAAAAAGGAACAGCAGCAGCAGGACGGAATTTGATTTTATTTATTATCCTTCCATTCTCTTTCTACTGATGAATGTGAATACACGGTAAATTGCGGGAAGGGGTGGAAAATCTGCATTGCATTGGACGGGAACATTCATCCCAAGACTTAGCTGGACGATGTTATAAAATAGAATTACTAGATCTGTACAATAAGCATAGTTCAGGTGTGCAATAGGCTTCATAATTATGTACTTTGGGGGTTGTGAGAGAGCAACTGCTTACAGACTGGAAGAAAACTGGGTTCTGGAACTTGATGCACATTTCTACAGAGGGTTTATCCATGCCGTGACTGATTTTATGCTATTTAACTAAGAAAAATGGGCCTTGGTGAGGCTACCAAAGATTCAATGTGTGAAAAAGAGGGGTTAGTTAGATGATCCAACATCTATAGAAGGATTAGCTAGATGTTCCAACATCTTCAACTACATCTCTGCAACTTAAAAAGATTGCTTAGGAAAACCCCAGAGGGACTTGCTCATAGACCCAAGTTCTGGCCTGAGAAGGTTCTTTTACTACCTCAGATGATTCACCTTCAAAGATGGTGCTTCACCCTGCTACATAAAAAGGTCATTCCTGTAGTCCATTTTATTTCAGAGTCAGGTTTAAGCACATACAGAGTCATCCCCACTAACATAAATCTTACAAGACGCAGTTGTAAACTGGGTCAAATTGGCTAGGTTTCTTGTGTTGGTGCACTGCACTCTATTAAATTAATTAGCCTTATAGTAACTAGCTGGATTCAAGCTCAGGCTGCTTGGGGATTAGGGCAATAATTCCAAAAATATAGTGGTGTTTCCACTGTGCTTGAACTGGATTGGCATGTTCAAGGACTTACATTCCTGTATTTCCAGGTTTCTGCATCAAAACTCCAGTAAATATCCCTTGTCAAGAAGTAGATAACAAATTGCCTTATCTGAAGATGCCACTATGAACTGAGACAGGTCTTCCCCTTACAGATGGGATTTCTCTCATGATGACTATGGGTACTTGGTCTGTGGTCACAATGACATCAAAATGAGGTCAGGATGTCATCGCAGAAATGAGGCAAAGCACCTCTGTGCCGTTTTACATCATGTGAAATGACACACGAGTGTAATTTGTATTATTTGTGTGATGATGTCATGTTGCACACATAATTTGTGTCATTTGTGTGATGTTATGATGCATGTGTAACATGGGTGCCCAAGTTTGTGACCTGGTTTACCTAGTGGGTTAAGGCATTGTTTCCTTAACTGATTAATTCAATAAATTACATCACCACATTGCAGAACTTACACAACAGGTTAAGACCAAACTAGCCAAACCAAGTAATGCTTAAGTGTGAAGTGTGAACCCAGTAACTGATTCCAGTTTTCTTGGGGGTGTTCACACAGAACATTGCAGTTCAGTTAGTATCTCAGGCCCTTTCCAATGCTGAAATGGATTGGAAATCCCCTTTTTGTCACCCTATACCTGGAGCTGTTGGAGGACAAAATGTTCTTCCTTGTTTCTCCTATAGTATTGTTAACTGTCTGTATAGGTCAATGTTTCTTTTTTTAGATTTTTTATCCCACCTTTCTTATTTTTATACATAACTCAAGGGGGCAAACATCCCTAATACTCCTTCCTCCTTCTCTTTTCCCCACAACAACAATACTGTGAGGTCCCAATCTCAGCAACTTTAAGATGTGTGAATTTCACCTCCCAGAATTCTGCTGGCTGAAGCCTTCTGGGAGTTGAAGTCCACACATCTTAAAACTGCTGAGATTGGGAAACACTAATATAGATATTTAGCTATATCAATACTGACATGGTGGATTTTTTTCTCCTTTTTCCCAGGACTGGGTCTTTTTGACTAGATTCTGCTTCTTTTCTGACTATGGACGCTTGGATTTCCAGTTCCGCTACCCAGAGGTATATTTCTATATTGCATTCCACATTTTTAGGGACACCTTTTACCATTCACAACCTACAAATTTTTCCCTTGCACGTGTTAAAAAGTTTGCAATTTTGAAACTATGCTGCTGTCACCGTAACAACCTCTTTTCTCCTTCTTTTTGAAGACTAAATGCTGTGAGAACATCCTTCTTTATTTTGATGATCCTTCCCAGTGGCCAGCTGTTTACAAAAAGGGAAATAAGGTCAGTTTTTATTGATCATCCTACAGCAGATGGATCTTCCAACTCCTCCTCCTCCTCCTAAGTTCTGTTATTTCTTTTGGTCAGTGTTTCTCAGCCTTGGCAGCTTGAAGATGTGTGGACTTCAAGTCCCAGAATTTCCCCCGCCAACCCCCCTCCCCGGGGGGATTGTGGGGGTGGGATTCGCACCAACTTCAAGCTCCGAGGGCTTGGTGAAAAACACACAAAAAAAAAAAAA